AGAAAGTGAGAAACATTTGACATAATAATTGCATGCCATAATTTAACGTTGATCAAAATAAAAACATACAATGTGCTTCTACATTAACTCTACATCACCGTTGGGCAAAAATAGAACTAATGCATAAAACTCATAAATAAACTTATAATATTGTTATAATCAACGTTGGTAAAAAAATAACAATATCATAATTTAACTGAAACAAATCCGACTACTCCTCCAATTAAAATTTTTCTGTTGGTTCCAATTTAATTAGAGGATAAACATAAACATAGCAGCGGAAACATGAAAAAAATCTTGAAAAATAATACTTATTCAGAAACATCACTGTGTACTTATCTACTCTCTAAACAACTTATCCCGTTGGTTCAAATTTGAGCAGAGATTAAAATCTAGACTAAATTCATCCAAGAAATGCTTCTGAAAAGAATAAAAAATAATTCCCAATTATACTATTTATGCGGCCCAGTGTTGAAATCGGCCCAAGGCCTGCTCGCGCGTCGCGCGCTGCGGGTCCTAGGCCACAACCTGGGCCTAGGCCCGGGAAACTCCCTACCCGCCTAGGACGAAAGTTGGCCCGGCCGTCCCTGGCCATCCATCTGGACGGACGGCTGTCCGGCCTTCTCGGCGGAACAAAACCGCGGTCGGCCGACGTCCCCAAACCGTAGACCTCATTTCTCTCCTCCCCCTTTCAATTAGCGCCGCACCAGAGGCAGGCGATTTGTGCAGTGGTTGCCCGCGGCGGCCAGAGGGAGGTGGCGACATCGCCCCCGGTCCTGCTCGCCGGTGCGCGCGCTCACCATAGGGTGAACGTGCCACCGTCGAGCGGTCTACCGACGGTGACCTGAGCGTGCGCATGCAGTGCGACGGAGCGCCGACGAGCCAGCGGCTCGGGGTGTTCTTCTCGCACGACGGCGGTAGCGGCGGCGGCGGAAGGACTCTGGTAGGTCCTTCCTCTTCTCCGTCCTCTTATCTAGGGTTAGTGTTTCATGCGAATCAAAAATTCGAATCACCTCCTTCTATTTTCTTCCCAAACTAGATCTACATGCTAAACCTGGCTCTGATACCATTGTTAGACTGTTAGGACCAACTAGAAGTAGATCTAGCGGGTTTATCTTCACTAAAATTGGGATAAAAGCGAGTTCTTCCTAGAGAGAGAACTAGAGGGAGAGAGGAGGTGCAGAGGGTCAGACCATCGGGCTTGGAGGAGGAAGTGGCCATGGCGACAGTGTCCGATGACGGCGGTGTCTCGGCGGTGAAGTCCAATGACGGCGGGCCAGTGTTGAGGACAGTGGCAACGCAGATCCAGAGGCGGTGGAGCTTCCCGTCGCTGTTAGCGCCCCCTCTCGATCGGACTAGGGTTTGTAGGTGGGGTTTATGGCGACGTTGGTGAACCTCGTTTGTGAGCCCCGGCCCCCCACCTTCTTTATATGGCACTGTGCGACTGGGACTCACTAACCATGATTTGGTTGGGTGTCCCCGATCAGGGTGCGAATCAAAGCCCGACTCGACCGTTGGCCGAGTTGGAGGAGATCAACACTAACAGTACCAGATCCTGGATATCTTCTATGAAAACAGCTCGTTCGTAGTCACCAACGTCGACCTGTCGTCCGGCGACAAATATACTTATTGCGATCTCACCATCATTGCAACACCTCCTCCGACCTGAGCGCTGCGCTGTTCAAAATTAGCAACAGAAACCTGGAGCTGTTCTTCCTCGACGATTGCCAAGGCCAGGCATGGCAGCTGCCTCCTTCTTGGGCGCCAGTGAATTGTGCCGCGTACGACTTGCCCAACTCGTTCGCCTGGCTTGCTGGCAACTACAGTCCCGACGACAATCCGAAGCAGCTGCCGGGGAACTGCACAGTGGCGTCATTTATGCCGGTGCTGGGATACCAAGGGGCGGTGGCGGCCGACTACGACCGCCTAATGAAGGGTGGGTTTCTCCTAGAGCACAGCTACACGGTAGAGGATTGCGCGCCGTGCGTGCAGAACGGCGGCCAGTGCTCGGTCGATGCCGGCGAGGACGTCCTGGTGTGCCAGTGCTCCGATGGCGTCCACGCAGCGGAGGGACCTTGCAGTGAGTTCAATACCATACAAGCTACCTCACCCTCTTGCATTCCTAAAATGTTCCTCGTTTGTATATTTGTTTGTTAATTGGAAAATTCCCTGCTTTTGCATATTATTCATCTCACATTGTAAGTCTAGATATATTCCTTGTTTTTGCTAAAATTTACCTCGCTAATCTTGAAGTAAATTACGTGAAAACAAACACTGCACACTTGTGCAACTCTATTACAAGATCGCAAGTTCAACAACAAGGCAAATCGTTATAGATTGCGTATGGTTGATGCCAGAGATCACCTATTAGTAGAGCCACTATACTAGAGCAGTTATTATGTCCACCACAAATGTGTAAATCAACATCCGCATCCAGATCGTCTACAGTCTATGTGCCTGTAAATTGCATGAAAGCGGCCATAAATGTATAATTCAGAGCTTTTGCCCCCCCACCCCAAAAAAGAAAAAAAAATCCATTCGCAAGTATAGTTGTTTTTCTTCAAAAAAGCTAATGATCAACCGGTTAATGTACCGGTTGTTATCAACCCTATTTTGGGCCATACGATGCGGAAGCGACAGCCTCCCCGCGCCCTGAACCGATGCCACATGCCGCCGCCCACCACCTCCACCTCGTCCTCGGCTCGTGGCCGTCCCCTGGCTCACCACCTGCTGCAGCTGCACCGCTTCAGCATTAAGCAAGCAATCATGCTGGTGCGTGCGTCCTTGCCTGACACACGAACGTGAGCATTGAACACCCAATCTCTCCTCTCTCACCTCCTTTGTGTGGATTTGTTTTTTTTTTGAAATTTTTGAAAAATTTGTGAACAATTTGACATATATCTCTCTGATGTCTGTAATCCATAAAAATAATTTGTATTTTTTTAAAAAAAATTGGCATATATTTGTATTATTCCCAAATTACATCACTCTATGCAATAAATTACACCGAAGAAATAATTATAAATATAGTAATAAGGCAGTGTAAATATAGCTGTAAGACAATGTAAGTGCGTGAGAAAAATTTGGTTGATGAGAGGGACTAAAACAACCAGTTGTTGGTTAGACTCCTCTGATAATTCTTTCACTCACAAGTAAAGCATACTCCCTCCGCACCAAAATAAATAACTTTCTAAGGTTTTAAATTTATCTCAAAATAAATAACATTCTACATAAATAGGAAACACTGTCTTGTAATGCGGGAGATATTCATGGATGCATATAAACGATAACTGTCAAATACTTAAAATCCATGAAATATTCTCCAGGAAAAGAAAGGAGATAACAGTACCTGCGTCCTTTTACAATGTTGTTAATCTGTCCAAAAATTTCTAATGCTTATTTATTTATTTATTATTGGATGGATGGAGTATGTTCGCACCTATGTGGCAAAATAGCTATTTCTAGCTTTGCAAGAACAGATTTTGCTGCTAGGAAATCGACAGAAACACATTCGTTTGATAGAGAAGATACGAATTAAGTGATTTTATTTGTGGCAAACACATCAACATAAAGCAATCGTGTGGGTTCCGTTGAAAAACATGCTAAGTTCTATGTGAGCGGTGGCTAATTGTGTTTTTGTTCCTATGACGGTGGTGTTTGACACCATAGGTGCCCTTGTATATCAAATTCTTTTTTCTTCTTAATTAAGCGGTAGAACTCCTGTCTTTACTTTCAACGAAAACCTTTTTTAGTGGCCGTGCTGCAGCACGCTTTTTTCCATTAAGCAGAAGTATAGTTTGGCCCAGGTGGCCACGATAATCCCACGATTACTGAGTCCGCTGAACCTAACAGCACACAAAGGTTGCGATTACTTAGAACAATCGTGCGACAAAGGAAACACCGAAGAATCAGAGCACCGACAAGACCGACCGTAGCTACCTGTAACTAGCTAGGCACCAATCGTTGGCCTCGCCTCCCGGTCTCCCCGTAGGTATAACAGTTACTCTAGTAGTCAATTCGTTTCAAAAAAAAAAAAACAGTTAGTAGTCAGAGCATATCTAGAGCATCCCGGTCTCCCCGTAGCATATCTAAAACAGTTGGTTGAAGCGCGGCGCACCCGCGGTCACGTCAGTCGTCGCCTTGCCCCGTACTGTACGTCCATCGGGTATCGATCGGGCACCTCGGAAATATCCTATGCGTAGATGACGACGACGGCCCGACCCGAATGCCCCCTAGTCAAAGTTTCGTCTCTACGCACACGACGACGCGGACTCGCCTTCACCATTTACACTCAGCCCAGCCACCACCAGTGCCTGTGAGCGGTTCACCCTTCTGTTCATCCTGCTAATGCCATCGTCGAATTAATAAGCTTTCCATGGCTCTGTCCTTGTTGCTGCTCTTCCTAGTCTCGTCGTCGGTGTGGGTGGCCTTATCCTTACCATCTCCGGTGGCGGCAGAAGATGGGCAAGCAGGAGGAGAGCGGTGCCCGCCCTTTTCATCCGGCGACGTGACCATTACATATTCAGGTGTGAAAGTTGAAACTGCAAGTCAAAATTATATCTAGCGCATTCCGTTGACCACCTTTTCTTTTGGAAAAAGAGTCTGCTAGTCCGGTTTGTGTGTACAGTCGTCGCCGTTCGCTAATACCAGTCCAGGGTTTGACAAAGAAGTGGGACGACGAGCTTATTGGCCGACAGGAGTGTGCCTTACACGGTGGCCGGAGCTGATCAGGGCGCGCGCATCCGGTCACGTCAGTGGCTGCCACTGTCCAGTGTCTATCCAGCAGCTCAGGAATTCCCGTGCGCGGACGACGACGGCCAAAACGTCCAGTCAAAGGTTTCGGCCCCCTACAGTGTCCACACAGGACGCGCGGACTCACCCTCACCATTTGTAGTTAGCCACTTGCGCGCTCGTGATATTTCCTTCTCCCACCATCACCGATTGTAGCTAGTCGAATCACCTTCACCACTTGGTGATGCTAATATGCTATGCTCCCATCCATGGCTGTGGCTCCGTCCTTATCGTGGCTCTCCCTCGTCTCCTCGCTCTGGACGGCATGGGCGTGGTGGTCGTTGCCTCTGATGCTCGCGACGGCGGCACCAACGATGGCAGCGGACCGGCAAGGAGAGCTCTGCCCGACCATGCTATGCGGCAGCGTGAACATATCCTTCCCGTTCGGGATCGTCGCCGACCACGCAACGGATACCAACTGCTTGGTGATCGGGTTCCAGGTTCGCTGCTCTAACAACATCCCATACTTCGGGTTGAGTGCATATTCGCCCCGGATTCTCGACATCTTCTACGACAACTCCTCCTTGCTCATCGCCGATGTCCACATGCTTGACGACTTCCATAGCTCCGCCACCAAGCCCTGCCACTCCCCGACGAACAACAGCTCCTCCAAGGTCGCCCCCTCGTTCTCGATCAGCCCAGTTAACCAGAACATGATCTTCTACGACTGCGTGGAGCCGCCGGCGCCGGCGGTGCGCAAGAGTCGTGGGCTCGTGGACACGACGTGCGGGAACAGGACTCTGGTTGGCGTCACCAAGGGTCCCGACGTGCCTGGCAGCTACTTCTTGGAGGGCTGCAGCGCTGCCGTCGCGCCGATGCTTGCGAGGCCCGGTGAGGTGAACCCAGCAAACTACATGGAGTTCATCAGTGGCGGATTCCTCTTGACATGGCAACTGCCGCCGTCGCCATCACCGGTTGGTAAGTTCGCAATTGGAATCAAGAACATAGAGAGAATTGCATTCATTGGGTACTGGTCTAAAAATTGTGGAACACACCACAACTCCACAAGAACATGAGCCTCCTCAGGATAGATCGCAAAGCACCGACCTGGCAACACAAACCACCAAGCAGCTTGTTTATCCACTGATTTGATAGGGGGCGTAGGGTGTCGTTCCCAACCGGGTGGCCGGTACTCCCTCCATGTCCATAAATAAAGTCGTTTTTAGACATTAACACGGTCTCAAAAACAACTTTGATCGCTACTTTTTATTATAAAATATTTATAAACTATAGCCAACTTATATTTTTATAAAACTATATTTTAAGATGAATTTACTTACATCACTTTCATATCTTTAAACTCAACTTAAAAAAATTTAGTAGTCAAAGTTTAAAATATTTGACTTGATAACCTCAAAACGACTTTCTTTATGAACGTAGAGGGAGCAGGCGTTTAGTCTAGCCACCGCCACTTCGCTGTCCGGAGTCGGTAGCACAGAAGTTAATGAGATATCCTGCTATACTAGTATTAAAGAAACTCAGAGAGAGAAAAGAAAATGAGACTAATCAAACGCTTGTCCGGGTCCGGAGGTGAGAGGTCCCTCACTCCCTGGCCGAACTCCGAAATCCAAGCCACTCTGCCGCTGACACCCCCTCCATCCCCAATCCGCTATGCAACCACTCCTCCTCCTGCTACTCGCTTCCTTCCTCCTCCCCCCGCCGCCGGGGGCCAGCGCGGCAGAGTCGTCAGGCTGCTGGCCCAAGACATGCGGGGACCTCAACATCACCTACCCGTTCTGGTTTGAGGAGCTCGGCAAGCCACCTTGCGGACTGCCGTCCTTCCAGCTCAAATGCAACAGCAACCGCGCGTTCTTGACCAAATCCGTGTACCAGGCATATGAGGTGCTCAGTATGTTCCCCAACAACTCCTCCTTCCATGTGGTGGACCACAACCTCCCCCTACGCAGCGGCTGCCCAGCGCCAACGATGAACATCTCGCTCTTCTCACCCGCATTCGCGTTCAGCAAAACCAACAAAGAATTGCTCTTCCTTGGGGGTGTGCACGGGGTTACCACCGGTGAATTCGTCTGGGTTTCACAGACTGCCTTGCAACAACAGTGGTGCCTCTTCCTTTCTCCGGCTCGGCGACGGCCGGAATTTCTCAAGCCACAACATCCAGGGAGGGATTCCGCTGGGCTGCCTCTTCACTGTCATGCCGTTTCTCGGGTTTCCCGATGGAAATGGGGATGACTACATCTCCAGCATGAAGAATGGGCTTCTCGTGGAGTGGAAAGGGGTGCCAGATGATTGCCCAAGTGCATGGCAAGGGGCGGGGAATGCAGGTACTATGGTGTGAGACCCAGGGAACGAGGCACAATACTGTAGCGACCGAACTTTAGTACATATCGAAAGTTGAAGGAGAGCTGAATCAAGTTAAAAACCGGACTTGGAGGCTGTTAACTCCGGATCGATTCTTTTGCGCGAAGTGAAGACGAAAGTGCAAGAGAGTTAATTAGTAGGTGTGGTTCATTCAATGTGTAGAGTGGGCCTTAGCCGTCTTCCTGGGTCGGGGCGTTACAAATGGTAATCAGATCCAACTCTCACGATTTTACGGTTGCGTATGGTCTAGATGCCTGGACAGGTTGTGCATGACTGCTGTGAGGGCATGACACTTTGGTCGGAGAACTGGAAATACGAACGTGGCCAAGAGAGTCGGTCCTGGACATTTATCCTACTAGGTAGCTTGGTTCAGCGTTCGACGAGGACGTCGAATTTGGAAATACGAACGTGGCCAAGAGAGTTGGTCCTAGACATTTATCCTATAGGTAGCTTGGTCGCGTTCGACGAGGACGTCGAATTTCCTAAATGGGAGTATGTGAGACCCAGGGGAATGAGGCCCGACGCTGTAGCGACCGAACTTTAGTACCACATCGGAAGTTGATGAAGAGCGGAACCAAGTTAAAAGCCTGGACCTGGGAGGCTGTTAACTCCAGATCCATCCTTTTGTGCGAAGCGAAGACGAAAGCGCAAGAAAGTTAATTAGCAGGTGTGATTCATTTAACGTATAGAGTGAGCCTTAGCCGTCTTTCCGAGTCAGGCGATACATACGGCGACAATGGCACAAAGTTCGCCTGTGATTGCTCCGGTGACAAGTGCGGTGAGTTAAGGAAATTTAAAACGCACATCAATTTTGCCTAGTTTTTTTGGTTGGAAATAGCATTAGTCTGCTATCTGGAAGTAGAAGTAAAGTTGGCCTACGCCAAATTCTAAGAGATGGCAGAACACTCAAAACACACATTTTTTTTTAAGAATAGGAGGCCGAAAAATATATGGAGATCAAGCTAAAGTAACAACGTTTTGCTTTATACTCCGCACTCATTTTATTTGTGAATTCTTATTAGATCATGTATTGAAAACTAGGCAAGTGGCGTAGTACTAGTAACGGATTCAAATATCAATTCCATGGTATCTGTTTGGTTGGCAATTATGGTCCTACTAGTGACATATAGTCGCTATCAAGAATATTTGAACACGTCGCCTTTGTTACAGTTAAGAAGAATCGATTTCGTCATTATTCCAGTCTTCAACCTATCCAAACCAGCGGCCTACATGATTTGGAGCAAAATATGTGATCATTATAATTTATTTTCATATTTACAATATAGACTGTTTATGGCCTCTAAATCTGAATGCTCATATTTAACACCTCATTGTTTTGTGAAAAGAAAATAACATCTGCTATAATTTCAGTTTCGATTTCAGTAGCTGCAAGCTTGCTCCTACCATGTATATATGTGTTGGTATGGCATATGCAAAAACTAAGGTTTTTCCTATGCAAAAAGACCAGCAGCACCACAGAAGAGAACATTGAGGCCCTAATATTATTACATGGGTCACTAGCTCCAAAACGATACAAGTACTCCGAAGTAACAAAGATAACATCTTCCCTTAATAATAAGCTTGGGGAAGGTGGTTATGGCATGGTTTTCAAAGGAAGGCTAGATGATGGTCGTCTAGTTGCAGTGAAGTTCCTGCATGACTCCAAAGGTGACGGTGAGGAGTTTGTGAATGAGGTTATTAGTATTGGCAGGACATCTCACATTAATATTGTTAGCTTATTTGGGTTTTGTTTGGAAGGCTCAAAGAGGGCCCTCATATATGAGTATATGCCAAATGGTTCTTTGGATAAGTATATATACTCCGAGAATCCCAAAGCAATTTTAGGATGGGATAAGCTCTATACCATAGCAATTGGGATCGCTCGAGGGTTGGAATACTTGCACCATAGTTGTAATACACGCATAGTGCATTTCGATATCAAGCCTCAAAATATCCTTCTGGATCAGAACTTTCACCCAAAGATTGCTGATTTTGGTTTGGCCAAGTTGTGCCATACCAAGGAGAGCAAGCTTTCTATGACCGGTGCTAGAGGAACACCTGGGTTTATAGCTCCTGAAGTACATTCTCGAACCTTCGGAGTTGTTTCAGCAAAATCAGATGTTTATAGCTATGGAATGATGTTGCTAGAGATGGTTGGTGGCAGAAAAAATGTTAAACTAATGGCTCAAGAGTCAAGTGAAAAGTATTTTCCACATTGGATTTATGACCACTTTGGTCAAGACGATGGACTACAGGCATGTGAAGTTACAGGTGAGAACAAAGGAATCGCTAGAAAAATGAGTGTGATTGGCCTGTGGTGCATCCAAATATTACCAATGCATCGCCCTACCATAGGAAAGGTCTTGGAAATGTTTGAGAGAGGTTCAGATGAGCTAGACATGCCACCAAGGCAAAACTTCAGTCAAATATTGTAAGATATTATTTGAGACATATATATTTCAACAATCATTCAGTATCATTTACATCAATGTTGATATAACTATATTTTTCATTCTTTTGCAGCAGCGATCCAGCTTACAGTTTGAATGCAGAAAGTTCGACCATGATTAGTGGTACGAAAACACAAGTTTCTAGTGAAGTGCTAAAGATGAAAGAGATAAGTGTTGTAAATTCAAAAATCTTACAACGGTTACCAACTCTATGAAACGGTAACCTTCAAGTGGAATTTGGCATTAAACTTGTGTAGGTATCTCTATGACAGAGGGTTTTTTTTTGAAAGACGGCAAGAGATTTTCTGAATTTATATTAATGGAAGAAAAAGAAAAAACAACAACAGATATTACATGCCTCGTCCTTGGAAGGGGCAGCTGGTCTACTATTGTGATATTTGTTTTGAAACAAAAGGCTACTGGTCTACTATGATATATTTCATTCGAAGTGATAAAGATTAAGGCTTTAAGAGGTAAAGTCGTATTGTCCCAGTATGCATAAGATAATTGATATCCTCTTAATAGCGGTTTGTCACTCTTTGTTTTCTGTTGACAATCAAAAGCGGCTAAAGCATATAATGGAATCCGCCGTCATGTTTCTATTGTCGAGATGGTCAGCAAACATATTTGGATCATCCCATTTGAAGCCTGGACGAAGAAACATCGTTTCGGAGGTACTGGCCAGGCCGGTTCCCAACAAGTTCCTCAAATGCATGATTTGATTGCACCATTGCGTTCCTCTCATTGAGCTGATAGAAAAACATATATGGTTTGCCTCATTTGAAGTCCGAATGAATTAATTATAATTTTTGAAAGATTTTTGACACCGGATTGCACCAGAACCGGCCAGGCCGGTTTGCTTGCCCCTGTGGCTATCCAGGCCCCGTGAAAACTGGCCTAGCCAGTCTGGGAATCGGCTAGGCTGGTTTGCCTGGATGAGTCCGATTCAAACTCTATTTTGGTCGGGATTTGAACGTATTTTCGCATAGGAAATTTTGAGATTACGATCTGGAGTTGTTTCCTATTGGAATAAGATCATCCCCTCTCTATATATGAGAGGATCACGGCTGATTGAAGGATTCAACACTCAATCGTCAAAAACACATCTACTACCTCTCTCTATCATCTTCTCCTATTTACCTCTTCTCCTCGTTCTTCGTCGGTGCTGCATGACTAGAGGATCGATGACGGCGACGCTCTAGAGCGGTTAGGCCGGTTAGAGTAGCCCAGCCGCTGCACACTCCGACGGGGTCCCTCCCTAGCGTGTGGAGTTTTGGGTCTCAAGAGACCTCGCCGGTGTGTCTTGCGAATCACGCTCCAGGTGAGGCTCTTCCGATGATGTGTCTTGCGTATCGCGCTCATGGCTAGAGGCACAAGGTCCGGGTGCGGACATACCATTGGCGCCGGCTGACCAAAAATAGGCTAGACCCTACATCGAGCGATCTAGCTCTTTATCGGTATGCTGACCTAATTAAGCATCGCGTCAACAGTTTCACTTATGCACCACCCCCTATGGCCATGTAGTTGAACTAGTTGGCGACTGATATATATTGTTAACTTCTTGTCCACGCATCGCGATGGCCCAATCTGTCCGACAAATTTTCCACGCATTGTCAAAATGGTCTGCGCTCGGCACGTTCCGAGAGACTTAACTTCTTGAGTGCCTAGCAAACGTGTGTTTTTCAGAAAGTTGGACAGATTACGCAGATGTTAGGGAGTGTGGCGCTGGCGCATCGAGCTAGTCTCCTCTGCTTGCTGAAAGTCCCCCATAATGCCATGTCTGCCATAATCTGCCTGACAAATTTTCCACGCATTGTTGAAATGGTCTGCGCTCGGCACGTTCTGATGGACATAACTTCTTCTTGAGTGCCTAACTATGGTGTTGTTTTTCAGCAAGTTAGACAGATCACCCAGACGTTAGGGAGTGTGGCACTGCCGCATCAAGCTAGTCCTCTCTGCTTGCTGAACAGAGGACTCTGGAATTGTCCATGTGTTTGTGGGCACTCGATGAGTGTACACCATACTTTTTTTTTCTTTTTTCTAAGAAAAAGACGAATATACACGTACGGCACCTAAATGCTGACACTTGCCCATGTCATTTTCATCACTGCATTGATCAGCATTCGCACAGACAAGAAGCAAATACTGAAGCTGTTCAAAACCCCTTTCGCATCCGTCCATGACTTTGGCACTCTTGTGTTGAGTCGTATTACTAGCTCCCTTGTTTGCACTTCACTAGACGTGCCCTGAGAACCACGACCCACATCCTCCGGAACCAGAAAGACAAGCTGCGCTCCGGCGAGACGCGACGCAGGGTCTTGAACATCATGTACCCGCTCTCGTTCCGCGGCACGGAGCCGTACGTTGTGTTGTACTGCGGAGGCATCCCGGCCTTTGTGCTCACTGCTCACGCACGACGGTGTCTCCGTGCCTGCGATATGTGACGGGTTCCATCCGTTTGGAGTGGCCGACGGTGCGAGCTGCGCTGCGTCAACGCGTGCAGGCAAGCTGGCACACCTTCCGTTCCTGTGCTTCTGCTTCTGTTATTCTGAGCCTCTGACGGGTCCACAGGTCACTTCATCTATGACGCGTGCAAGCAGGCTGGAAGAAGGACGACGTTAGCGTCTCCTTCCCGTGTTAAGCTCGTCCCGGAAGACGCCATGCAGAATTGCAGACTAACTGACCTGTAGTGGCCGTGAACTAGGAGACGAAGACCGCGGGTCTGCGCATTCGCCAACGTACATCCTCCCGGCTTCCAGTGCAATGCACCACCTCCTTCCTCTGTGACAGCTGCTCTCAAACTACGACTGCTCCCGCACCCCGTAGTACGTGTTTTCTCTTGTGCGCAAGTCGCAATGCAAAGATGCACGCATGTCCTGTTCCCGCCGCTGGCCTGCTCTGCCCAGCCATGCTACTGCTCCTCGCTCTGCTAGCTGCTCCCCCGCTGTCGCCGCCGTAAACATGTCGACGTACGGTGCTCTGCGCGTCAGCGTCGTGCGGAACCTCACCATCGCCTACCCGTTCTTGAAAGAGTAGGATTAGAGAATACTCAATGTATATGATCAGCATTTACATATATAGGCATTGTGGGAGGCCAGGCAGACCCACACACCATATTTACATTCCAACACTCCCCGCAGTCTGAATCGGGAGCACCGCGAACATTGAGATCGGACCTAACCTCCGTGGAACACGGACGTCGGCAAACCTTTGGTGAAGATGTCGGCGTCTTCGGGACGAAGGGGGGGCGTGCAGGACGCGGACTTCACCGAGGGCGACTCGTTCTCTAACGAAGTGCAGGTCGATCTCAATATGCTTGGTTCGCTGATGCTGAACCGGGTTGGTGGAGAGGTAAACGGCGCTGACATTATCGAAGTAGACCATTGTAGCACGACGGAGTGGGCAGCGAAGCTCTATCAGAAGTTGGCGCAACCAGCAGGCTTCGGCGACTCCATTCGCGATCGCTTTCGATATTCCGCCTCCGTGACCGGACCGAGACAATCGAGGCTGACGCTTGGGCGACCAGGAGATGAGATTGTCCCGAGAAACACCGCATAACCCGAGGTGGATTTGCGTGAGCCGCATGTCCGAGATGACCAAGGCGACGATGCCAGAGTGAGGTGGATGACGCGGTGGCAGCGAGGGCAGTGGGAGTGCTGGATGGTGCTGGGAAGAACGGGTAGAGGTCACCCGTGCTATTGCACCTGGCGATCACACTCCGTGTCTGAAGGTCCTTCACAGAGAGGCCAAACGGGTCAAACTCAATGGAACAATTATTATCAGTGGTGAAACGACGTACAGAAATCAAATTCTTAATAATATTTGGTGACACTAAAACATCAGAAAGAACAAGAGGACGCGTTGTGTGGTGGAGAATGAGTGTGACCCAATAGATGTAACGGGAAGCGAAGCTCCGTTACCAGCAATGATAGATGAAGGACTAGATGACGAAGGATGGTGAAAGGTCGAAAGAATACCAGTGTTGTTGACCATATGGGCACCGGCACCGGAGTCAATGTACCACTCGGCCGATGAAGGGGGCGTCAACGTCATGGTGTTGAAGTTGTTGATGAGGGCGGACGGATCCCAGGACGCGCCTCTGCATGGGCGCCCACTGCTGCTGCTGCTGTGGCAGCGATGGTCCTCCGTGAGCGAACCCCGGGAGGAGGTCCAAGGGTGTACGGCTGCTATATGTACTGCTGTTGCGGCTGAGGAACAGCAGTGAAAGCAGCCGGCAGAGGTCGAAACGGCGTCCCTGGACTGCCCGGCGAACACGGCCAGAGCTGCACGGTGCCCGTCCATGGGTTGTAGAACGGTGCCGGGGAGCGAGAGCCGCCTGCCAGTGTTGGAGACCTGCTGCTGCTGGTTGCGGCGCGCCACCGCGGGCGACGGATAGTGCGCCAGAGCCGCCTGGCCAGCGTGCCCGCCCTGGCCGCCTTGGCCCTGGCTGCCCTGGCCGTGGGCTGGCATGGCCGCCTAGCCCTGGCCTCGCGTGGGAGCACCCATCAGAGGGCGCGGGCAGTGACGAACGCGGTTGTCGCAGAGGATGCCGGCGGGTCCGATGCCCCGGTGGCTTCGCTTGCAGCAACGTCATCGATGTCGATCTCCTCGAGCAGGAGGAGTGTGCGAGCCTCCTCGAAACTGGGGAAGGGTTGCCGCATCTTGAGGTTGGAGACCATGGGCCAGAACTTGCCATTGAGGCCGCGAAGGAGAGTGAGGACCAAGGTCTGATCCCCGATCGGATCGCCGAAGTCGCTGAGGGTTGCCGCCATCGTTTCAAGACGGCGGCAGAAGTCGGTGATGGAGGCCGACCCCTGTTTCGCCGTGCGGAACTCCGCCGAGAGCAGTAGGGCGCGCGATTCGCGCTGGCCGAGAAACTCGTTCTCGAGGTAGGTCCACGCGCCGCGCACGTTCGGCTTGCGGTTCATCGTCGTCTGCTGGAGATCGGCGTGGATGGTGCAGTAGATCCAAGTGAGCACGGTGCAGTTCATCTGCACACACGCCAGTCGATCGTCGTTGACAACATCGGAGAGGACGTGGTTCGTTAGGGCATACTTGCCGAGGACAACGAGGAACATGGACCGCCACCGGTTGTTGTTGTCAGCGGCGCGATCCAAGACCAGGGGCACGAGGACCTTGATGTTGAGGACGGCGATGGCTGCGACGTGTACGTTGGCGTACTTGGCCTCGTACGCGTCGAGGGCCGCAACACGATCGGCCTCTGCCCTGTAGGCGTGCTCCTCGCGCTCCTCGCGAGCCTGGCGTTCGCGCCGGTTTCCGCCATGGGAGAGGGCGGACGACGCGTCTCGGCGGAGGATCGCGCAGCGCGGCAAATCGTGAGTCGATGGATCGCGACGTCGTGAATCAGCGAATCAGCGACGTAGCGGATCGCGTCTTCGCGGGTAGTCACGGAGGATCAGGCCGGCGAGCGAATCAGCGACGTAGCGGATCGCGACTTCGCTGCTAGCGCAGGGGATCAGGTCGGCGAAGCGAGCGAGACGCGCGCTCTGCGACGGCCTTGCTGCGTTTCTGCGATGGCGCCGCACACGATGGGAGGGGCGCCCAGCGGGGCGGGCTCTGTGATGGCGCGATCGATCGGCCGTGGGTTCAGCGGCGGCGCGATTAGGGTTTGCGGAAGCAAGGAAGGAAACGTCTCATGATACCATGAAAGAGTAGGATTAGGGAATACTCAATGTATTATTGTGTATGATCAGCGTTTACATATATAGGCATTGTGGGAGGCCAAGCAGGCCCACACGCCATATTACATTCCAACAGTTCTGGCCCGCCAGCACTCATCTGCCGGAGTGCGGCTACCGGGCTTTCGAGGTCGCGTGCGACAAGGGCAGCGTATCCCTGTAGAACTCTTACTGGAATTTCCAGGTTATGGATATCTTCTACGAGAACAGCTCCTTCATATATTTATGCATTATATATGCTTATGCTTGAACATGTGTCATCAATCGGCGATAGGTTTCGTGGCGGCGGCTTGTTTGTACTGTCTCCACCAAATTTCTTCTTCTTGCCTGAGCATCACGTACTTGTTCCGGCTCCGCTGCACGTAGCCGTACGTGCGTTATGTTGTCCTGCGGTTTGTGCAGTCATGACCGACGATGGTAGGAGACGGCAACGCGTGCACGCGGCACCGCGACGAGTGCAGGCTGGCACAACTTTCATTCCAGTGCTACCGCTCTGACGGCTTGGTCTGTTAACAAGTCCCCTTGTCTCTCCTCATCAAAAAAAAAGAAGCCCCCCTGGTAGTCGTCACCGACCAAGCGTTCTGTTCCGGTCACCACGCCAATGACTCGCGACAGTCGTCACAATATTGCCCCGTCCATCGGGCACCTCGGAAATTCCCAAGCGCGGATGAATAGGCCGAATGTCCTGTCAAATGTTTCAGCCGCTAAAGTCTACAGTCTATAGTTATACAGGGCACGCGGACTCACTTGACCGTCTAGTCGATCGCTGTGTCCCTGTCTCTTAAGGAGTGGTTCACCACTATTCGTCCACTACTTTTGTTTGTGGCAATGCAAACATATCAACATAAATCAACCGTGCAAAATGAGCAATTGAGTTCCGCCAAAAAACACTCTAGTCTGTTTGTTACTCCCTCTGTCCCCAATAAGAATTGCATTTCGTGTATGTATTTGGCAAAAAAAAAAAGAAGGAGTGAGATGAGCTTGTTGGCCGGCCGGGGGAAAAGACAGAGCGCGCATGCGCGGTCACGTCGGTCATCGCCGTGCCCCGTACGTCCATTGGGCACCTCGGAAATTCCGTGCACCAATGACAACGGCCCGAATGCCCCCAGTCAAAACTCAAAAGCTTCGTATCTACGCGGCGCACACGACGACGCGGCTCTCCTTCTTCACCATTTACACTCAGCCACCACCGGTGTAGTACCTGTGAGCGGTTCACCCTTCTGTTCGTCGTGCTAATGCCATCTTCGAAGCTTTCCATGGCTCTGGCTCCATCCTCGTTGCTGCTCTTCCTAGTCTCGTCGTCGGTGTGGGTGGCCTTATCCTCACCATCGCCGGTGGCGGCAGCAGATGGGCAAGCAGGAGGAGAGCAGTGCCCGCCCTTTGCATGCGGCGACGTGACCATCTCCTTCCCGTTTGGGCTCATCCCAGAGGGCGCCGAGCAGACCAACTGCGGCGCCGGGATTGGGTTCCAGGTTCGTTGCTATCACAACCACATCCCATACCTCCAATACTCTCAGAGCGATATCAGTATGCAGATCCTCAGCATATTTTACCACAACCGCTCCTTGCTCATCGCAGATAGACTAGCATATTTCACTAGGTCTAGCCCCGAAGGGTGCCGCATCCCGACAGCCAACACCTCGTCCCGTCTTGCTCCTCCGTTGTCGGTCAGTCCCGTCAATCAGAACCTCATCTTCTACAACTGCACCAAGCCGCCGCCGCCAGGCGCGGGGCTCGTGGAGGCGGTATGCCACAAGAACACGTTTGTTCGTGCCGCCGATGGGCGTCCCGACGAGTCAGCAGGCACAGCTACTTTTTGGACGACTGCAACGCTACCATGGTACCGGTGCTTGGGGTGTCCGGCAAGGTGAACGCAACCAACTACGAGCAACTCGTCAGGGATGGCTTCCTAGCGACATGGCAGTGGCCGAATTTTTTACAATTTGGCCATTTTTTTTGAAAGTTTCTCACAAATAGGAATTCAGGAAATTGACACTTAGCTCGGCGCCATTCATGCTGGCGACTCTGGCGCCGAGCTCTTGGGCACGGTTCGTGACCTGCCAGGGGGCTCGGCGCCAGAGTGACTGGCGCCAAGCTCGGCGCCGTAGATCTTGGCGCCGAGCCCGGAAATATCTAACGGGCCCGCGCCTTTCCTCTCTTCTTCTCCCTCTCTCGCCCTAGCCGAGCTCTGCCGCCGACGCCACCGCCCTTGCCCGCGCCACCGCCACGCCCGCGCCCCCGCCGCGCCACCGCGCCCGCGCCGCGCCATCGCCGCGCCCCGCGGTCGTGCCCCTGCCGCTCCAGCGCGCCCGCGCCCGCACCACGCCCGAGGCCGCGCCCGCGCTGCGCCGAGCCGAGCCCGCGCCGCTGCCCCGCGCCGCGCCCCTCGCCGCGCCGCGCCTCGGCGTGCTGTAGCGCTGCGCCGCGCTGTTGCCCGTGGTTGGCCTCGGCCGCGGCCCACCTTGCCGCCCTCCACCGCCGTCCTCGCCTTGCCCTCCACCGTCAGCCTCGGCCACGGCCCGCCTTGCCGCCCTCCACCGCCGGCCTCGTCCTGTCTTGCCGCCGTCCACCGCTGGCGTGCCTCCCGCGCCCGTCGAGCCGGACTCGCCGCGGGTAGCCCCGGGCATCCCGCGCCCGCCACGTGCCACCGCTGTCGTAGGCCGCGCCACCGCCGGCCCAGATCTTTGGCCTGACCCACGCCCATCGTTCGCCGGAAAGGTAAAAATTATGAATATGCAATGTACCTACTTAGTTGGCATTTGTTATTTATTAGCTAATGTGATGAGTCAGGTAGTTGATTTAGTTAGTGATCTAGTGAGATATATATGTAGATAGATAGAAACATAGATACATAGGCACATAGATATAGTTAGATAGCTACTTAGATATGTAGTTACATTTTTAGTTATCTACATATGATCTAGCTATTTAGTGAGTACACTGTAAATATATACGTAGTTATTATCTTGATTACTTAGTTTGTAGTTAGTAAGTACTTGTTAGGTACTATCTATCGTCTAATTTGGACTAAAGGGCATGTGTTTTGTTACGTGTTTGAATTAGATGGACAACCTAGTCACCATATATCATGGAGGCATTGTTAAAAGCGATCACTATGGATATGTTGAGTTTCTTGACATGCAAAGCGTGCCTGTGCTATTCAATGATAGGCCTTCATTTAGTGACATGGTTACAAGGGCTCGGGAGGAGCTGCATTGCCTTGGAGATGATGGCATTGCGAGTTGATGGTGTCTCGCACCTAGGTTGTCCTCCGAACATCTTCAAAGCGAATGATCTCATTTGGTTGTGTGGATCGATGGGAGAACTATGTAAGATCGGCTATGAAGAGCCAAATTGCAATGTTTGGACGTGGTTGTGCGTCGGGTGTTAGTTGATCCCATCCCTCATGGGTGTACCCCAGCAATGGATCATTAGGCATACATCGACCCTCCTGTTTTGGAACCTTACCTGCATGTGCAGATTGCACCTACGGTTCCCGATGCTCAATCTGCCCCCAATGCGGTATTTGGAGATGGTTGTCAGACTCATTTTTCCATGGCAGATCATCCTCAGAATCATCCGAGTACGTGTCTTAACCGCATGGTTTTTGGGAGCTTACCCCGTTCCTTACATCTATTTCTTTCATTCTTTCCTCATTTCTGTAATGATGTTGCAGGAGACATTCCTGAGAATGTGGATGTGCCCCCTGTTGCTGCGCAAGTGCACTGTGGAGATGGATTCCGTGGGTCAAATAGTGTTGAAATTATGCATGATTCGGAGCCATATGAGATGGCTAGGGCTCTTGATTCTGATGATGATCGCCTTGTTGGAGAGTTGATGGAGAGTGATGTTGAGATGATGAGACGTATCTTTCCCAGCCGCCGTGATCCTAGAGTTCACGAGTTCAGCGATCTTGCTCATTCCGATCGTGCATTTGCGTAAGACGTGATGATGAGCTCCTAGAAGCCTGAGGCCGGTCCTAACATGGTAATTGAGAATGGGAGGGTGTTCAATGACCTCCCTGCTCTGAAGAGGTGGTTGCAGGCTTTTGCAGTGATACGAAAGAGGCCTTATAGGGTATTGCATTCATATGCGGAGCGTCGTTATAGAGTTGTGTGTGACAAGGAACGCTGCCCATGGAGGGTTTGTGCAAGGAAGCAACTGGTAACCGAAAATGGAAGATCACAAAAGTTGTCGGGCCACACAATTGTGTCGACCATGAGTCGACAATCGAGGCATCGGCAGCTGACATCTACCCTCATTGCCAAGCAGTTGATGGGAATTTTGCAGGGATAATCCAACATGAAGGTGAGGACAATTATCAGGACCGTTGAAGCGTTGTATGGAGGATATGTGATAACTTATGGTAAAGCATGGAGGGCTAAGCGCGTGAAAGTGGAAGATGATATATGGGGACCGGGAGGATGGGTATGAGCAGCTACTAGTTCTTTTCAATGCAATCAAAGCGGTGAATCCAGGCATGCATTATGAGTACATCCCAAAACCTAATGCATGGATGGATGGGAGGCAGATATTCTTCCGTGCCTTCTGGTGCTTCCCTCAGTGTGTCGAGGCCTTTAGGCACCGTCATCCCGCCTTCTCCATTGATGGTACGTTCTTGATTGGCAAATACCAGGCACACTTCTTATAGCCATATCCTGTGATGCTAACAACAAGTTGGTTCCTTTGGCATTTGCCTTGGTTGAGAAGGAGAACAATGACAGCTTGGGGATGGTTCTTGAGGCTAGTCCGGGATACATGTGGTTGGGCCCGGGCAGGAGGTTGGCATCATATCTCGATAGGCATCGGGGCATACTTAATACCGTGCAAGGAGAGCGCATAGAGGGGTATGCATCGTTGCACCATCGTTGGTGTACTCGGCACCTTGTCGAGAATCTACTCCGGAAGGATGGTGTCAAGGGTAACTTTGATCTGCTTCCAGAGGCGCTCGACAACTTGAGGACAAGTACTTTAAGGAAAAGTTGGAGCAGGTCGAACCGCATCAAATGCGAAGGGTAGACTATGGCTCACAGTGTTTGATGAGGGATTTGGAGAAATGGACGAGAGCTCACGACGCCGGGTGGTCGGAGGTACAAGTTTTAGTGCAAAGAACATGGCGAGTCATTCAATAAGTTGCTATTGGGGATATGTGGTATGCCCGTGAATGCAATCGCTCAATTCACCTTCTATAAGCTTGTTGCTCGGTTCAACGATAGACACGCTCATGCATTGCGATTCACGGAGTGATGGAGAGATATGAGCTCCGAAACCAAAGGCACACCTAGAGAAGGCAAGAGAAAGGGCTGGCACACATGAGGTTGCATGCTTTGACCACGCCACGAGGACTTATCAGTCGAGCATAGGGGCATAACGTCCGGACGGCGAGGTCCGAGAGTCGAGGATACATGTGGTTGTCCTCCAAGATTTCAAGTGCACTTGTGGTAAACCAAGGCGCATACCACTTTGTATGTTCTCATTTGGTGGTAGCAGCTAGGCATCGCAACTATAATATCAAGAGGAGGATACCTCACGAGTTCGGTGGTCGACACGCTTGTGAACACATGGAGCCCCGCTTCATGCCTTTCCAGACCACGAGAGTGGCCTCCATATGATGGGTCGAAGTACATTGCGGATCCACTTACCGCTGGAACAAGCGTGGATCAAGGCAGAGGATTTAGGCATAGGATGATTATGGATCGATACCCTAAAGAACTAGGCGTGGGAGAGGAACTCCATTTGTTACCGATCCAGTAGTAGTACGAGTGCGCAAGTGCGGTAGACTTGGCCACAACTCACGGGTTGCCGCTATGCGATTAGTGAGGTAGGACTATTGGTTTATATTATTATTTTATATTTGTCGATTTCATATATTTAATTATGCATGTCTCAATTTATGCTTGTATTTGTGTCAATTACTTATACATTTCTAAGTTCATGTTTCATTGTATATTGGAATTCTAATTCATTCACTTTTTTTGTAGGATGGAGCAATTCCACCACCTTTCGACCTAACGTCTGGAGGCGACCCACCGAGGACGCCTCATAGCGCCAAGGCGGTAATAATCTATAAGTTTTATTCGTACATGTGTTCGTGAAGTAACAGGAGACTATGTTTTATTCGATGTAGGACCTTCCGCACCTTTCGTCCTAGAACCCACAGTGGGTTCTTCGACATGCGATACGACGGCACAGTACACTCCTTTCCTACAAAAGAGGCGGGCTGGATGTCATCTCTTTTTAGGTTCATCGTGGGTTGCCCAAGTTCAACTTAGTGGCCATAACTGCGTTGGTAGACAGGTATTAAAGTGAATCATTGCCTCCATTCATGGCCATTTGTTCATGCGATTGACTTTTTGACAAGTAATCTTGCTTTGTCTTAAATATAGGTGGCGGCCGGAGACTCATAGCTTCCACCTACCTTTCGAGGAGATGACAGTCTCGCTACAAGACTATCAGAAGATGTTAGGCCTAAGGATTCACGGCAACCCAGTCACCAGGCAGTGCAGGTCAGAGGGCTGGAGAGCCTGAGTGGAGGTCTTCCTTGGGCGTGAGCTTGGTGAGCAAGGGGCTCGCACTGCTGGAGTTCCCATCTCCTGGCTGCATGAAGAGTTCGCATAGTGCCCTGAGGAGGCAGATGAGGAGACAGTTGGGTACTATTGCCGGGCGTGGATCCTACACCTTTTTGCCTGCGTTCTCTTTCCCGACGCCACGGGTGACAGTGCGTCCTGGATGTGGATCCACTGCCTCAGTGACTGGGACTAGGCGGGTCTATACAGCTAGGGCTCTGCTGTCTTGTGTTTTCTATACCGGCAGCTGTGCGAGGGGTGTCATCGGTCTTCGTCCAACCCATCACTTGGTGGATGCGTGTACC